GTAAGTTACGGATCCTTGTTTTTCTACTTCAATTTATGACCCACACACTTCACACTTGGGCCATAAATCAGTGGGGAAAAAAACTCAGTCCAGAACTTACAGCATGGCCCTCAAACTTGGTTAGCAAGAGGTATTTACTCTGATTGGCTAGAGGAGACATATATAAGTACAAAGGCAGGAAAAAAAATTGAAATCCAGTTGCTCAGTAGGCCAGTGCATTTCAGTTTTCAGTTGCCCCAACTAAAAGTTTATGTACTTGCCCAATAGACGTGCAACAAACGTAAGCGAAGTATGCTTACCAATCCATGCTTGCAAATCATTATTTTGCTCATCTTGCAGTCATAAGTTTTGAAATTGTTTTTGATTGGAAATTATCACTAACAAGACTACCGAGGCTAATTTCACTTGCCCACTGGACCACAAAATTTCCATTCTTACTTGCCCTGGGCAATTGGACCTGGGTTTTTTTTCCTGCCCTGACAAAGCATGCCAATAGTCAATTTTTGCTTTGTTTTTACGGGACNTTCAATTTATGACCCACACACTTCACACTTGGGCCATAAATCAATGGGGAAAAAAAACTCAGTCCATAACTTACAGCATGGCCCTCAAACTTGGTTAGCAAGAGGTATTTACACTGATTGGCTAGAGGAGACATATATAAGTACAAGGGCAGGAAAAAAAATTGAAATCCAGTTGCTCAGTGGGCCAGTGCATTTCAGTTTTCAGTTGCCCCAACTAAAAGTTTATGTACTTGCCCAATAGACGTGCAACAAATGTAAGCAAAGTATGCTTGGATTTTAAACCAATCCATGCTTGCAAATCATTATTTTGCTCATCTTGCGGTCATAAGTTTTGAAATTGTTTTTGATTGGAAATTATCACTAACAAGACTACCGAGGCTAATTTCACTCGCCCACTGGACCACAAAATTTCCATTCTTACTTGCCCTGGGCAATCGGACCTGGGTTTTTTTTCCTGCCCTGACAAAGCATGCCAATAGTCAATTTTTGCTTTGTTTTTATGGGACTTTTCTGAACAATCAGTGCAATATACACAATAAACTAACCTATAAACAGAACCCAACATAATGTTGTGAAAAGCATCAACTTTAAGCAAGAGACCCTAAGAAACAAACCAAGCATTTTTACATGATTTCAAGTTTAAACATGAAGGTGCTTCATACAATTAACAAAGGGCTTGGTTCTTTCTGCACTGCACATTTCACATCATTTATTTTACATTTTTAGTTTTACACATGAAAAGCTTGCTTTTTTAAACGTACTTCTTCACTCTCTTTCACATAAGGAACTCACTTTTACACAGAACGGGTTCAAATAAATCTAAAATATATAAAAAAATATAAGTATAACTGGCAACAACAATTATTTTGGGTCACTGGCACACTAATCATTACAACACCATCATGCATGTTTGACAATAACCAACTGAAAAAATGGACTAACATCATGCATGATTCAAAACCAATTTCCCAAAGGACACACTGAAAAAACAACAGAAAGTTGTTGACAGAAGCATTTTGTAGTAGATAGACACACTTTCTTTTAACTATTATCTCATAAGTCTTGTGCAAAATGACAACTAAACAAAATAGAGCTTGGATAATGCCAGGAAGCTCTGTTTTGTCTCTAATATCTACAACATTATTTGAGTTAATGATTGCTGTTATGACGACATAATATAATATGATGATAATAATATAATAATGATGACATAATATAATATGATATCATAATATGATGACATACTAAGAGACTGTAACAGAATATGTTAAACTTTTCATTGTTATACTCTACTAACTTTGTGTAGGGGTAGCTGGGGGCATATATGAACTCCTTTGCAGGCCTAGGGTAGGCAAGGTAAGTGGCCCTTTGAAAATACTAAGAAATTACCTCCTGCCCACTCCCCAGAGATTTCTTTGGTACCTATACTGTGTTTCAGTCCTTTGCATATTCCAGGGGGTATGGGAAAGTTTTGGTTTGTGATCACAACATCGAAAATAAAGATGGTGTCGTTTGTCATGGTTTTCTTCTAGATAGCAAAATTCTGTACTTAGAACAAAACACACCTTTAAAGAGATTGAAATGGTAAGGAATAAGCACCAAGAAGACTCAAGCAATGGTTAAAAGGGTAATAATGACTTAGGAGCCATGATATCGTCCTTCGTTTGCAAGATGGTCTGAATCAAAGGTCATCCCGAATACATATAAATCAAAACTGCACTATGGAACACTGTGGACAAGTTTAAAATGGACATTCTTGTCTACAGTATGGAAATATCGCTAGTTCACCCAAATGTATTGCTTATTAAAATTAGCATTCTCCTCTAGGGGAACTGTTTTGGTGTTATTTAGATAAACATTTCAGCTGACTTTTGCATTCTCAACAGATGGACAACAACAATTGTTTGGATAGCGCAAGTATAATTTTGGAGAATGCTTATATCCAAGTCACTATTTTTTGAGAACACGATCTTTATGTTGTTCACCTATTTATTATTATGCAGCATCATAGATATCCTTATTGCTGCTATTAAGTGAAGCTTGCTGACTTCGCACTTTCCGTTCAGAGAACCGCTCAGCTATATCTAAGGGGTGCTTTTAATAAAACAATTATTCCATGAGCACTTGTTGGATATGAGAAGATGGTAGCCAATTCATATCCAATACACACTTGTGGAATAATTTAAATATATACTCACACTACTTGTATCAAAATGAAGTCCTCTTATGGCAAAATCTGGATCATATTTCATTTCTTCAATCCCTCTTGGATACTAAATACATATCAAATAAAACAAACCAACAAATAAATACAGTTGTAAATAGAGTAAAAACAGCTATCCACAATGAATATTATCCTGTCTACAGGAGTGAAGGGGGTCAAAGGCTGGTAAAAGGTCCTGGTGAGAGCTACTGTTGCCACTGGGTAGCTCTCGTAAGTGCCAAGAAATGCCTACAATCTCAAAAAGGCTCTGCCAGCAAGTCATATGTCACACCTCCACGTTTGGTGACCCTGGTAATACAATGTAGCTGAGTGACAATGGCAAAAGGCAAGCTTCCAGCGCCTTTAAATATCTGGTACCCATGGCTAGGGGAAGGACACCCCGACAGAAAATCCCTGGTCCTCCAGGTTGGGGGTTGGGCATGGGGCCGATCACCCCATCCCGTAAAAGCAAGGTGATTACGGAAACCTGAAATTGATGTCAAGGCCACTCTTTTGAGTGTACCGATAACTACCAAGGAGCGAGATCAGCGGCCTGCTGTCTTACAGGAGACGACTCCATCATCCTGATGGACAGCAGTAGTAGGAATGCAGGTGAAAGCTTTAAAGAAACTTGCATGCGGATAAGGGCGTTGACTCACCCTAAGAAGACAGTAAAGAAGTAGAGGACGGCCAAGGGAAACATGGCAGAGAACCGTGGAGAAGGAACGTGCTGAGCTGGGACTTACATCGTGGGCCGCAGCAGCAGCTGTGGCCAAGAATAGGGACAGATGGCGAGCATTGATTTCCGGCCCTATCCCCCACTTGGGGGCAAGGAACTAAGCTACAGGAGTGAACACTGGACTCTAAAGACCCAAGGAACTAAGTCTAACTTATAAATGACCTATTATTAAACCCCCCTCTTCAACTGAACATAACTTGACATGTTGATAAGTAGAATCGATAGTTCTTACCCCATAAGTAGAAATCAGCTCTTTCACTGCAAGATCATAAATAAGGTAATGCAGTGTGTTGGAGTATGAGGCCAGCGTATAATCATAATCAAAGCCATAAACGTCGATGTGCCGCATTCCAAGCTCATTGTTAGCAAAGATTGCTTGTTCATCTACAAAGGTGTAATTTGTTGACTCTGCAAAAAAGCACAAAATATGTTATACTTTCTATTACACCTGCTGTCAATGTTATAAGCATAGGTGACATCTTTCGACCATCTTTCTACATCCCATCTTTCAACGTGCTATTTAAATGGCTGAAAGACAGTTTAACTGTCAAACTGGCAATTTTTCCGGTAATTAGTGGAAAAAATGACGAATAAATGATAATTACTGACCTTAAATGGCTGAAGATTTTGGACTTTGCATGTTTCCTGACTTAAATCAAACAATTTGAGCGTAGTCAGTCGGCTCTGAATAGTGACTTCTGGTAAAACTGGGCTGCTATTACTTTTAAAAACACTCAAAACAGTCAATTTATCTCTCGCAGAATGACTTCTAGATACTCTTAACCTTAGTTTGATGTCAAATAAATCAATCTTTCATAACTAAAAGTTGAATTCAACCATAGAGAAGTCCCTTGTGTTTACAGTTTTGACGTAGGCCATGTCGAGAGATAGCATGTTGAAAGATGTCGCCTATGCACATAATGCTGAAAGCAGGTGCACTGTAATAAAATAATATCAATCCCCTTTAACTAGACCCCACAGTTCACAATCTATTCACATAGTTCACAATACCCTTCAAGAAGCATCCTAGGAATAGTAAGAAGAAACTAGGAATAGTAACCACTTCAAAACCAAAGACATGCACCAACCTTTTGAACCACTTGGCTCCAAACAGACGTTGAAGACTTTTTAATTTTTATTTTTTTTAATACCCTGTTACTCGTCTTGCTAGATGAGGTGGTCATTTTTCTCAATTGACATTTTGATTGGTTGTTTTCTTCCAAGTGGCTGGGTTAAAGTAATACTAGTGTCAAACGCATACCCCCTCCCCAGACTAGTAAAGGTGTGAAGGAGTGCTGCAGGCAGTTAATTCCTAACAAAAATGCTAAGTTAAATCAGCAGATTGAAAGGCCTGGGAAAAAGTCATGCAATCACTAGATTCCCATATTGCCCATTCTGTGCTCTCCTAAGAGTATATAATTTACATTGTGCGGTTCAAGAAAATGTCTATACTCTCCCCACAAAAGGGATTGGAATTTCCAGGGGGTGGGGTGTTCTGTAAGACCAAAAAATTTAATGAAATGTATGAAGTTTGATTGGAATTTCCAGAGGTGGGGAACCTTAGAAAAAATCCCCTCTGTGGGGGAGGTATGGATTTTTTCTGGAACCACACATTTACCACCCTCGTGAGCACAGAACTATATGGTTATAGGTAAAATTATGTTTTAGTCAATTCCTCTGTTTTTTTAGACTGCTGGCGGTCTGTTTTTCTCTCAAAACAAGGCAGAGATTACGAGGCAAGCTTTCTCATGCAAGGGGAGTGGGACAAGACATGGGTGCAACACCATCTGGCACCAACCTCTTTTCATCCATACTACCCTTATGCCCCAGCAGAAGGGGGATATTCCCAGTAAAATTGGGTGGGGGTGTGTGGCCCGCTTCCCAAAACCCTTACCCTACTTATGACCAAAATCTGCGATTTTCCCCAACCCTATTTATGACCTGATCAAAAATTAAGCATCCTATTTATGACCATTGTGGCTGGCACAGTTGCCCTAAACATAATTTATGAAGGGCTTTTGATGATGGTCTTGTCGAGGATGATGAAAAAGTAGCTTCCTCTAAAAGATATACCCAATTCAAGACTAGAGCAAAAAAAACATACCCTATTTGAGACCAAAATGACCAAACTCAATACCCTATTTATAACCAAATGGCTGAAACCCATACCCTTTGGGGCTGCACATAACTATACAGCCCATATAAGGTAGTACCACCCCCTGGGGTAGCCTTATGTACTCATGTTCAAAGATAAATACTCGTCTGACGCTAAGCAAGAGAAAAGACTGGCTGCCAGCAGTCTACTTTTTTGTGTGAGACTGAGAGAAGAAACAACATACCGGTATTATCTTGAATACGAAACATTATTTTCTTCAGCATTTCCCTGAGTTTCCAGTTTTTTGTTATTGTTCTTTTCAACACAAAGCTATTTGAAAATGTATTTGCTCACACAAGCAATTATATAATTGTTCAGCTGCAGGTGCAGTGCAACTATCAAATTTATTTTATTATTTTACTATTTCCTTTGTTTTCAAAGCACCACTCTTTATCTGCTCTATGCGCAGGACATTGGTCATAAACAACACCTCCTTGAAAGATGAGAGACTAATTTTAGACGTCTTTTTCCCAAGTTTCCAACCCAACTATTTTCTTCGTCATATAAACTGCGCTGCAGAAATCTCCCGCACGTGAGCACACGTAGCTTACCGTTTATGAAGCACTTTCGTTCATTGTATACGTTTTCCAATTCGTCAATAGTTTCTGCAGCCTTCGTGTGAACATTACAACGTAACGTGTAAAAACAAGCTCGAAGTTTAGGGCAACTACGAGAACACCTCCTCAGCAAACGATAGACCGCCATATTGAACCATGTTTTGTAAAAAGCTCTGGGAACTAGTCGTCAACATCCTGAGAAGCGGGGGCCCGGGGAGGGGAGCGTATGGTGCCGCCGCGTGATTGCTGCGTGGGCTTCGTGCTCGTGGTCGTCACGCTCCACGCTCGTGCATCGCGTTTGTTGTTTGTCTGCAGGCCAGAATGTTCCGGAATATGAATGCTCCGGGTTGTTCAGGAGGTTTATGGAATGATCTGTAAAGTTCTGGATCGTTGATTAACCTACCGTTGCTTGGCTTTATCAAATATGTACAAATATGGACGTACGTCTTTCATAATAGAATAGAGACTTTTCTTAGTGCATCAGGGCATTTGATGCTTTCCTCTGTTACGTCTTTAAGTGATTCGCTCAAATAAAGAAGTCGAAAGTTCTTGAAAATAATTTGCTGGTTACAAAAGGTCGCAATATTGCACCATCACTCTTTTACGTCACTTTTTTACTCCCAAAAATAGCGATGACATCTTTTTTCGAGAAGGTTCCAGAAAGTTCCAGAACGAGGCGAAACCGTTATAAAAGAGGAGCACGTGTGCGACTTACATAATTTTCACATCGACAAGTCAGGGAGTGTTACGTACGTTTTTTGTGCCATATTTTTCAACTGAATACTGAAATATGCCTGCCGTAGGAATCGATCTCGGGACTACGTATTCCTGTGTTGGTGTTTTCCAACACGGTAAAGTAGAAATAATCGCTAACGATCAAGGTAATCGAACAACTCCGAGTTATGTTGCCTTCACGGAAACCGAAAGACTCATCGGGGACGCTGCCAAGAATCAAGTCGCCCTCAATCCTGCAAATACAGTTTTCGGTGAGTTTTCTAATAAGCGTCGTCAACTTTAAAAGAAACTGTAACATAGTACATGAGTGTAGTTGTATATTGAAAAAAATATCGTGGCAGAAATTTGTTTCTTGTAATTCAAGCGGAAACGCCGAAATGTCCGCCATGTTTGTCATAAAATGCTTACGAAATCACCTTTGTTCTTGCAGATGCAAAGCGTCTTATCGGACGAAAATTTGACGAACCTACTGTACAATCGGACATGAAACACTGGCCTTTTAAGGTGAGTATTCATCAACGTCGAGCAAACCTAAAGGGACACGAATTTTTGCCTGGATCAAGCTTTAAAAAAAAACGTGTTGAAGTTTCTGATTTGGTTTGTCCCACTTTCACTTTCAGGTGAAAAACGATGGCGGAAGACCGAAGATTGAAGTGGAGCACAAAGGAGAAACAAAGTCGTTCTTCGCAGAGGAGGTAAGCACTTGGCACTTTTACTCGTGGCTTACTTTTTGGCTACACAATGCTGAAGGGTAACTGCCGGGTGTAACCGGCCTTTCGCCATGTGCTTTGTCGATTTTGGCTTTGTGCTTAAGTTATATTCACGGTCGAATTGTATTTTGGCTATCTACAGATATCTTCAATGGTTCTGACTAAAATGAAGGAAACTGCGGAAGCTTATCTTGGCGAGAAAGTGACTGACGCAGTTGTCACTGTTCCAGCATATTTCAATGATTCACAGAGGCAGGCCACCAAAGATGCCGGTAAGTCTCTTTCGCCACTCAGTTTTGAAGTTCACTAAATCAAATCTTGCGACAACACGGCTGTTTATATTTGATTGTTGCCATGAGTGGAGTCCATCTGCTCGGCTAGGAGTGAAAATTCTAACATTTTTAGACCTTAGCCCCTATATTGCGCAATAGAATATGGTATGCACGTGTCTGCTAATTTCAACATATCCAGGAACTCTAGCTGTATTGTGTAGCCGACACACTTGGCAGATCAGGGGGCAGAAATTCTGTAGAAATTCTTCTTAGCAAGCAAAGGGCACTTTCCAGTTCTAATAAAATATTGCGTGTACATTTTTTCTGGAAATTTCCAGTAGTGATTTGTACAGATTTTCTGGAATAATTTTCCATGAAAGAGGAAAACTTTGCGAGGTATACTTCCATTCTATCTGGGTTGAAACGTCTTTCCAAAATTCAACAATTTTAGGTTTTTCCGGATACTTTCCAAATATGCCTCCACTTCAAAAGTGCATGAATTTATAGTTGAATGGGAAGTGTCCTAGAAAAGTATGTGTGTATATTCCTCGTTCAAAACACATATCAGGTTGTTCCAGAAAGATTTTTACCTTAATTGCTACTGTTCTCACAATCTGATTGGCTGATTTGCCATTGTCGATAAGAGTCCAGACAACGCTAATTCACCTAATCTTGCCATTTATTATACGACTTAGAAAATTACTTAACTGTAATTGGCAGAGAGCAGGCCAATTGATTGTTAATTTGCATAGTTTTCTTAGCATTATGTTGAATGACTTGTTTTTTCTAATTAGAGTTTTAATCTATTCTGTCATTTTGTAGGAATTATTGCTGGGCTTAATGTCCTCCGCATAATCAATGAACCAACTGCTGCAGCCATTGCTTATGGTCTAGACAAGAAGAGTGGTGCTGAGCGTAATGTTCTTATCTTTGACTTGGGTGGTGGTACCTTTGATGTCTCGGTTCTCACCATTGATGATGGCATCTTTGAAGTGAAGTCAACTCATGGAGATACCCATTTGGGAGGTGAAGACTTTGACAACCGCATGGTTGATTATTTCAGGAAAGAATTCTTAAAGAAATACAAGAAAGATATTTCCAGCAACAATCGGGCCATGCGTCGCTTGAGAACTGCATGTGAAAGAGCCAAGAGGACCTTGTCTTCTAGTACCCAAGCCAACATTGAAATAGACTCTCTCTTCGAGGGCATTGACTACTATGTAACAGTCAGTCGCGCAAAGTTTGAACAGGTAAATGACGACCTGTTCCGTGATACCATGGAACCAGTAACCAAAGCCTTGAAGGACTCCAAGTTGGAAAAGGGAGAAATCCATGAGGTTGTCTTGGTTGGTGGCTCAACTCGAATCCCAAAAATTCAAGACCTGCTAAAAAACTACTTTGGCAAAGAACCAAACAAGAGCATCAACCCCGACGAGGCTGTTGCTTATGGTGCTGCAGTCCAGGCAGCCATCTTGCACGGTGACAAGAGCGAAGCTGTCTCTGACCTCCTGCTTCTGGATGTGGCTCCCTTGTCTCTTGGTATCGAGACAGCTGGTGGTGTTATGACATCTCTGATCACACGAAACACTACAATCCCAACAAAGAAGAGTCAAACCTTCACCACATATGCAGACAACCAACCTGCTGTGTTGATCCAGGTATACGAAGGTGAACGTAGCATGACCAAAGACAATCATCAACTGGGAAAATTTGAGCTGACTGGCATCCCTCCTGCTCCACGTGGTGTGCCACAGATTGAGGTCACATTCGACGTTGATGCTAATGGAATCATGAACGTTTCTGCTGTGGACAAAAGCACTGGAAAAGAGAACAAGATTGTCATCACAAATGACAAGGGACGTTTGTCCAAGGAAGACATAGAACGCATGGTGAAAGATGCTGAGAAATACAAAGCAGATGACGACAAGCAGCGTGACAGAATTCAGGCCAAGAATACCCTGGAAAGTTATGCTTACAACATGAAGAGCACGGTCGAAGATGAGAAGGTGAAGGATAAGATCAGTGATGAGGACAAGACACTCATCACCGAAAAATGCAAAGAAGTCATTGACTGGCTAGAGAAGAACGAATCTGCTGAAAAGGAAGAGTTGGAGGCAAAGCAGAAAGAGGTTGAAAAGGTATGCAGTCCCATCATTACAAAGCTGTACCAGGCAGCTGGAGGAGCTGGTGGAATGCCTGGTGGCGGAATGCCTGGTGGGGGTATGCCCGGAGGTTTCCCTGGAGGACAAAGTGCACCTCAGTCTGGAGGAGAATCTACAGGACCTACCATCGAGGAAGTGGATTAAATTGTCCAAATAAGTGTCGTGAACTACTTTGATGCAATAACGTGCTGTTGTTGAACATACCTAGAGTAAAACTTTTGCATGTATTACTGTTTAGATGTTGACCCAGATGTTTTGCATTCTTCACTTAAGTTGAATTTTTGGTTACTGTTGTAAGTTCAGTTCCTTATTACAAAGAAATAATAATAAACTGCTTTTGTGAACCAACATGTGAATGTAATAATCTTTACCAAACTGGTGGGTATGTTTAAATCTAAACATGAGGTTTGGGAGAATTTGACAGTTCATGCAAACCCAAGCCCACAACAAGGGTTTTATAGCACTGGCAATAAATTTTCTTGAATAATTTTTTGTTCTGTTCCATGTAAGCAAGCCATTTATAAAATATCTAATAGAGAACATAGGTCTTTACGCTGTGGGTGTGTTCGACAGTCATTTTAGCAACATCTGAGCAAGACTTATTCGCCAGTTTTTCTAGCTAGAACATCTTAACATATTTATTACCAATGATATGAACTTTATTTTGATTGGATGACATCCCTAGTGTATAAATAGTTCAACCCTTATGACAAAACAATACCATTTTTTAATAGAAACTCAACAAAAACATGTTCAGGTATTTTTTTCATGTATTTCTGTCAGTGAACAGATTGTCTGCAGACAAATATCCACATATTTTTGCCCGATTTTGAAGTTACTTATATAAATTACCCCGAGAGCAAAATAGGAACTTGCCTAATACTTCTCAAGACGAAGTGAATTTGGAAAACGCTGGGCTTGTGTATTCATTGCTGTTCAATTTATCATCTCTGTGATCGAACCAAGATATCCTGGTGGGTTCCAATCCTGATCCATTGGCTGAAAGGCAAGCACGTTTAAAATGGGGAAAGAGAGGAGGGTGTTTCTATTCCCTTATTGAGAAATAACTATCAGAGGGCTAATCTGGGGACAGTTTGAAGGGCAGACGCTATCCAGTTAAATCACTATCCAGTACATAGCCTGGCTTGTTTTGTCAACCCTTAACCACTCTATCTGGATTTATCCAGTGTATAGTGTTATACACCCCTCAAAGCACTGGACCCAAAGTGTTGCTAAGGCTAGCTGGAGTGTACTTTAGGCTCACCCCAACACCTTCCCAGTGTCCTCTCTAGTTTTTTTACCCACCAAAACGCTTTGCTGTATGCCAATATTTGAAGTCTGAAGAATTTTCAGGCAAAACCACCAGAACTAACACTGAGGAGTCATTTACACCATACTGAGAGAAAATGAAGGGAAATAACTTGCACTGCTTATGTAGTGTACAAAACCCACAAGTAAACAGTTCAATTTTATAGTGAAAGCATGTTTACTGAACATACAATCAAACCTCGAAAGATTACACCAGTGCAAAAAAANTGTTAAAAATCAGGTGAAATTGCAGGTACTAGTTTTCAACATTGTATGGGGGGTGGGGGGCGAGGTTAGGCAGGTGAAGTTGTATTCGCGTCTGGCACGTGCGCAAAAGCCCCAAAAGTGCAAATTTGTCCCAAGACTTTCATCCATGATTTTAGTCCATCCCAAGTTACTTCTCAGCATTCAGTCAGGTTGCCCCATCAGCTGCCAGTACCCAGTTATACTGCTGGGTGGAGAGAGGCACTGTAAGACTGTGTCTTGCCCAAGAACACAACACAATGACCTGCCCAGGGTTTGATCCTGGACCACTTGATCCACTTCTGGAGTCCAGAACGACCACTAGACCACAATGACCCCAAAAACATCTTCCAAAGGCCAAACTAAAGGTATCTGCAAATCTCTGATGAGAGACTGTTAAATGACCCTCATAAATCTCTCAAGGCCTAAAAATATCACGAATCAAATGACACAAGAATGAACAAATGAAATTCTATGCCACAGGAGTGACAAAATTTTTGTCTTAAAAATTTACTTCTCCTCCACTGAGACATTTGTACATACCTCATTATAATGAGTCTCACAGTAAGCCAGTCCCTTCCTTTCGTAATAACGATGACCATAAAATGGCTTTTCACACTTGGCACACACAAAGTGCTGTTAAAAACAATCATAAAAACTTGGTGTCAAGCTCGCTTGCACTTACAGGAACCATTTACAAATAATGTATGAAAACATTTGCTAAAACGTTCAAGTTAGGAAAATAGTTTAATGAACTTATTCACTTGGTAGTATCACTCAATACATGTTGCCCCAATTTGAAATGAATGGTCATGCTTATATTTCTCTGACAGACTTCAAAGTCTAAGAGCCATGTCACATCANACCTACGACACAAATGGCAAAGTCAAAGCTGAATGAGTACAAAATTTATGGATGACTATTGTTGCCATGATAAATAATACGAGAAATGGTATTCTGAACTCTGCTGAGTACATGTAGTATGTTGAACTCTTAATCAAGCAGTCCAGGTTGGGACATGGTTGGAGTCTTAGACACTACCTCTCCCAGCTAAGTAAATGTTGGGAGAACCCTCATATGGACTAGCATTTAATCCAGAGAGAAGATGAAATACTCCTGGTTGCTTAATACAATGCAAACCAGAGTTTGTACGCACTGACCTGATGGGAATTAGGCTCAAACCTTGATAAATGTAAAAGTCAGGAAACCTGTCTTATTCCACAAAAAAATTCTCATAATTGGCTAACCAAATATTTATGAAAAGTGTTGTGAAGGAAAATAAAATAAACTGCAAATGCCTACTTACTTGCATGAAAAACAATTGTAATGCCAGGGGTGGACAGGTTCACCCATGTACATCAGATGTTCTCCTTCAGGAATGTAGGTGCTGTAAACAAACACACAAAATGAGTTGCACATTACTTCTTTACAAGACTGGCATATCATAAATGCAATTATTGATAAATAGCATATCTCCTACATGTACAAACATCTCCTATAGTTCAGTGTTTCAACTCCTAATGAGTGCTTTTGTTGAATATGTTTGTGTCAGGAACATTTCACATTCATACTTTGAGAACAGTCCTAAGAAAATGTGTGCGTTGATTGGTTAAAAATCGTGTTTCTATCAATTAACAATTAGATTGTGAGCTCAAGATTTCTATGAGGTGATAGTTGATGAGGCCAAATCAATTATCACCTCATAGAAATCAGGAGTGAATGATCTAGTAATTGTTTTAGTAGAATTCTTACTAAAATTTACTTCAAATAACAGTTTCCAATTATTTCTTGACGTATTNGAGTACAAAATTAAGTGTCTTGGAGACTTTTTTGGAACTACATGTACAAGGAGATTACCTACGACACAAATGGCAAAGTCAAAGCTGAATGAGTACAAAATTTATGGATGACTATTGTTGCCATGATAAATAATACGAGAAATGGTATTCTGAACTCTGCTGAGTACATGTAGTATGTTGAACTCTTAATCAAGCAGTCCAGGTTGGGACATGGTTGGAGTCTTAGACACTACCTCTCCCAGCTAAGTAAATGTTGGGAGAACCCTCATATGGACTAGCATTTAATCCAGAGAGAAGATGAAATACTCCTGGTTGCTTAATACAATCCAAACCAGAGTTTGTACGCATTGACCTGATGGGAATTAGGTTCAAACCTTGATAAATGTAAAAGTCAGGAAACCTGTCTTATTCCACAAAAAATTCTCCTAACTGGCTAACCAAATATTTATGAAAAGTGTTGTGAAGGAAAATAAAATAAACTGCAAATGGCTACTTACTTGCATGAAAAACAATTGTAATGCCAGGGGTGGACAGGTTCACCCATGTACATCAGATGCTCTCCTTCAGGAATGTAGGTGCTGTAAACAAACACACAAAATGAGTTGCACATTACTTCTTTACACGACTGGCATATCATTAATGCAATTATTGATAAATAGCATATCTCCTACATGTACAAACATCTCCTATAGTTCAGTGGTTCAACTCCCAATGAGTGCTTTTGTTGAGTATGTTTGTGTCAGGAACATTTCACATTCATACTTTGAAAACAGTCCTAAGAAAATACGTGCGTTGATTGGTTAAAAATCATGTTTCTATGAATTAACAATTAGATTATGAGCTCGAGATTTCTATGAGGTGATAGTTGAGGCCAAATCAATTATCACCTCATAGAAATCGAGAGCGAATAATCTAGTAATTGTTTTAGTAGAATTCTTACTAAAATTTACTTCAAATAACGGTTTCCAATTATTTCTCCACGTATTATTAAACTTTGTGATGTGTACGTGCACACATCATTTTTTTCAATAATTTCAACTTTTCTTTAAGTCAAGAAACCATAAATGTCCTTCGTTTAGTCTTCTCAGGAATTTAATTACCCATTTGCATCAAAATTTTCCTCCAAAACTCTGGAAAAACAAAAATAACGTTGCCATTTTATAGACGACCTCCAGCCACTGCCCCAGGGCCACTGCACACTAATGGCTGATAGTGTGCCATGGCTCAGCCAATCAGATTACAGCATTTGCATTAGTATACTAGTAGAATTCTACTAATTGACAATTAGATTATGAACTCAACATTTCTATGAGGTGATGGTGGATGAGGCGGATGAGGCCGAATCAACTATCCATTACAACATCACGTCGATGTCAGTGTGTCATGCAGAAATGGGTGAGACTGCTAGCATTTTTACCCTGAAGGCTCAGTGTATTCCTTGCGGAAACATCTTCAGTGGATGCCAAAGACTATTGGACTTATTCATTTTATTTGATCTGGAAAAATGTGGGAGAAGGAGGACAATAGCTTAATTAAGCTACCTCGAGCTGGACAGTTGAATGCGTATCCTTTTGTTTAGTATCTTGTTTGTAAGTGCCTAAATGAACGTGTGAAAGTAGGCTGAAAGTTTTGAGAACTTAAACTTTTCACCTCAAAATAATAAATATAGATTTGCATCTAGTTAACCAGAGCATTTTGAAAGCTTTAAAATGAGAGGTCGAACTACTTCTGAGCGAAATCCGACTAGAACACAGAGGAATCGGAACAAGCCTAAGCAATAGCATGAATATATGAATACTTAATGACCTACTAAATGTGGATACACACTTAAATCGACGTGAAATTGTCATGCACCTCAAAGAAATCGAGAGCAAATAATCTCAAAATTGTTTTAGTAGAATTCTAACTGAAATTTGCTTCAAATAACAATTCCAATTATTTCTGGTCTTCACATGAAACTTCACGCTTTAGAAAATTTGTGCGGACTGAATTGTCAATTTGACATTTGTGTGTTGTGTTTGTGCGCTTATCTGTTTCTTTCAAAAAATTTGAGTTTCTTTATTTCAAGAAACCATGAATGTCTTTATTTCAGTCTTTTCATCAATTTGATTGTCCATTTGTTTCCAAATGTTCTTTCAAAACTTCAGAGAAATGAGATGTTTGTCAACCACACAAAGCCACTGCACAATAATGGCTGATAGTGTGCAATGACTCAGTCACCCAGATTACAGCATTTACATTAATAGACTAGTACAATTCTACTGAAGCTCAATAGAAACACACAACTAGCATGAGCTGTTCATGCAATGATGGCACTAGCAAAGAGACTTTACATTTTGATGATCAAAGTAAACAAGTTGTTTTCCTTTTTTCATTGTACTGTTTTCTAAAAGAAATAGAAAACATGTCCTCTGTGTTTCCATCAAGTTATAGAAACACTCATGGAAGTTTGGAAGAACTCAAAAAAGCAGTGGAAACACTCGCCTGTCAGCTCATGTTCCCACAGCATTTCTCATTCTCCCAAAATTCCACTCGTGTTTCAATCTATAACTCGATAGAAACACGGTACCTGTTTTCTATTTCTTAAAGATTTCATAATAACCCTTTATTGTTATTGGTGTGATACTTACTGGCACTTTCGGCACACATATCGTCCAGTTTCTAAACGAATTGAAAGATGTTAAAAATAATAAACAAGAATAATAAGAATCTATTGATCAACAAATGGATATTATGTAAATAGTCCACAGTTTTCAATGAACTTTAGTTAAACTAGATTAGATTGTTGAACTAGATTGATTATGTCTTCCTCTGTTATTAATTTGTCCCCAATCTATACTACAAAAATAGAAAAATACAAATTAAACTAGCCTGAAATCACTTTGAGCTGAAACTTATTTTAAACTTGGCCGTATATAAACATTGTGTGAAATAAACCCTTCTGAACCCTTCAATTCATGTTTTCTAGGAAACTAAAAACAAGAAAAAACTCATGGCCTGTCCAGTGTTCCAGTCTATAAATAAACAACAACAACAACAACAACAACAACAACCATTTTATTTTGCATAATACAGAGAATATCATACAGCAAAAGAATAAATACTGTAATCAGTAAATCATGACATAATTATCTTACTTTTAGTCTTTTCATCTGCATTACATTTCTTGCATAGTGCCCTAACACAAGAAAACAGTGCAAGATTATTTTCACTACTAACTAATATATAATATTAAAAATTCAAATATGAAGATAGTTAACATTACAACATCACTTGTTAGAAAACTAATACAAACAGTCATGAAGACAGATCAGTAGAAAGAAGCTTGACAAGGTGGACTGCATTGGTATTTGACACTACCTTATGAACTCTTGCAATGACCTACCATGGGGTGGGTATGGAAAGTTGAGGAAGAGAACAATATAAACCTTCAAAAAACAGCCCTTAGAATACATGCACACTGATTGGTTAAAAATTGTGTTTCTATAACTTGATAGAAACAAAGAACTAGCACGAGCTGTTGATGTAATGATGGCGTAAGCAAAGAGAATTTACATTTTGATTATCAAAGTAAACATGTTGTTCTCTTTTTTCATTGCAGTGTTTTCTAAAAGAAACAGAAGACATGTTCTCTGCATTTCTATCGAGTTATAAAACACTTATCGGCTCACGTTCCCATAGCATTTCTTGTTCTCCCAAACTTCCATGTGCACATTTTCTATTTCTTAAATTTCACACAGGAAATTGTGTTTAATTTACAGTCTGTTACTAACCTGCCAGCATTCTTGACAAACCCAGAGTCTGCCAATCCATCATTACAGATCTCACAACGGAAGCAATCAGGGTGCCAGTTAGCTTGCATGGCCTTGATGACACGGCCAATCACAAACTTACCTACAAAATAAATCAATGTGTCAGGCCTGAAAATGTTTAGCTGCTGCACAACCCTCGAAAAGATTACTAAAACAATTTTCAAAACTCTTAAACAACACTCTTTTAAAACTCAGAAAGCTGGTTGTTGCATAAATTAAGTTTTCCACAGTTGAGGAGATTCAGAATGTCCTTACCACATTGTTTACAACAAGGAGCAAACAAAGTCTGGAAATCTTCTTCACAATATCTTCGTTCATCATACTGTCAACATAAACAATGATAGTGATTACTATATGTATGTATTTTCAAGATGGCTGCCCAGTTGTGGCTATTTTGGTCTTCACAGAGTCACTTTTCCTAAAGTACACAGGCATGTCTCATATCAAAAATGATATGACCATTGCAGCCAGGTGCCACAAGTGAATTGAGTTGTTGTCATCAGTTCTTGCTTTGTTGTTGGTTCTCACATTATTTTGTAATTTGCAAACAATACAGCAGTTAATATGAAAGAACATGATTCATATTCTGAGACAGAGTATGATCAAATAATATTTTTTCATGCTATTACTGCTGCATTTTGTTAGCTAGTCTAGTCTACTAGTTCACTGCCTACTAATAGGTACTATTATAATAATAATTAAGAAAACCCATTTTTCCTGAGTAGTACAAGTACTAAAGATAACACTGACAAGTATCAACCTGTAATTCAAATTATGTCACTCTGTAGTTTGCACGCTATTAATTGAGAGATAAAGCTACAAGAAATTCAACTATTCCTCAAGGCTTCTTTTTCAGGTGAATCTAATGTACTCAAGATAACAAAAGAAAACAAGCTTGCCTCATAGAACAAGCCATCAGGAAATGGCTGGAAGCACTGCACACAACTACCAAAGTAAAACAATACAATAAGATTAGAGATTAATGACGTTTGTCACAAGTGGAGGTCACTATAGGTGCCCAAGGAAAACAAACCCAACACTCACCCTGCAGCCCAAGCCCCACAATGTGAGACTGCCCACATGGCAGATACTGCCCTGTGGTGACAGTTTTCACATGAAAGGAAAAGAATAGGAACTTTAAATTAATTTCTAACAGTGTTCATTTCAATAGATTTGGCTCCAAGTATTCAACAGCTGCTTTTGTTTCTCTCTTTTTAGTTAAGCCTCAGAGAAGCATTTTTTGTGCAAGCATTCCTAGGAGTGTGAATTTTTAGGCAAGCACAGGTTATTTTAGAAATTTTTATTTTCGAGTTTGATTTCTAAGTAATACTTGAGAAGTAACTATCTTTGTTTCATTTGTCAGAAATTATTTCATCATTCTGTTTAGCATGAAGTTAATATAAAGTTATTTTGGGTAACCAACGATGTGCATTAATTTACACTACACACTTGATAAATTTAATTTATGCAAAAGCACGCAAAAATTTAACAGCCAAAAACTGCTAGTAAANCTTCAACATGGTAAAATATGGCCAGTCATTCACAACAGAATACCCGCGGGAGTGTGTGACAGGTCATATTGAAAGCACTAAAAATAAAATAAACCTAAACCTTGACAACTCTTTTTGCACCATCATGGTTATTCACTATCCTGTAAACAAACACATGTCCTCTTGGAGGGCTTTGTTTTTTCAGGCCTTCTAAACCACATTTAGTTAATATACAGCCCCTTCCAGGTGTTCAGTTAGTTGGCACACCTTTTTTTATTTTTTCACATGCTGTTTTTCGTGCTGCGCTCCAACTAACTGAACGCCTGGAAGAGGCTAGTTAAAATACAGCAGCCTATTACTTGCTTTTCCCTTTTTATCTAAATTAAGACTTCCAATGAGTGAACAAAGAAGTTCAGGGTTGGATATTCCGTGGCATAAGCTCACTATGATTAGAACCCTTCAAAATGACATCATGTCTGTGCCCCAACACTTAAAACAATGAAATAGCACCAATGTTTTTAGAGATGTTCACATGTACTAACAAACAGTAAAATACCAAGGGTTTTGCATAAATACTGGAGTTATTTCACAGTTAGCGAGGGAAAACAGTCACACAATTTTGTAATGTAAAGAGGATTTTGTACCCATCCCATTCGGACGGATGTAGTGAAAAAGGTGGAGTACATTCTTCTAATTTTTTAAGGCGGTCTAATTTTTAGCACCTAAAAACCCCACTGAAAGTACAAACTGATTACAATACGCTTGCACTTCAAAAACAGGAATGGNCATTCTTCTAATTTTTTAAGGCGGCCTAATTTTTAGCACCTAAAAACCCAACTGAAAGTACAAACTGATTACAATACGCTTGCACTTCAAAAACAGGAATGGTCACCGCCAATGAACTTATGCCGACAATGCTTAATACTGACTCCTTCACCCCACCAGTGTACTACAGATAGATCGGACAAGTGATCAATGATCACATTCTAAGAATCGTAAACAACTGATACAGGTTCCAAAACACTAACAATCAGTTTTCTAAAGACAAAAGATATATTCAACTGCTGATCGGCCTTGTTACATCAACAATGAAGTGCCATACTCACACAAAACAGCGTTCATGAAGAATTTGACCATTGGAATTCACCATTCGCTCGTCAACGCCGAAATTTTCTTGACAGACTGCACAGATGGCATTGCCTAGTCCATAACCCGCGGGCGGTGCTATCTCATTTTGAACTGGCATGATTATTTGATGATGTTAAACGAAACTGATATGATTTTGATAAAGCTTTCACCCGACCAAACTGAACAAGTGCTCACTGAATTCTAGCGGATACCCCCACGGCAAAACAACAACAGAACATCCAACAGACAGATGATGGCAAGCCGCTCCTTCGAACCGAGGGGACTGGGTATAAGACTTCACAGGAACTACTGTTTGGGTGTGTATGCTGTTCTGCAGGCTAATACAGGCAAGTCAAATCAATCAAGCGGATCCTATTAGACATTTACCGGTATTTCAATTACTGTAATAGAAAACAACATATCTGTTTGACAAGTATTACAAAATTTTTAATTAGACGATCAGTTTGATCTTTTTTTACGCCCTCATTGAGTTTACACATAAACGAGAGAGATTAAGCTTTTACTAATTCTAAGCAACATTGTATCGATTGTCAGGTCGACAAAACGGTTAATCGGTTAATCGTAACAACTTCCTCACTTGCGAGGATAATCTTTTTCAATCAAATCTAATTTTTAATATAAAAAACCCTTAAAAGTACTAAAAAATACTGTATTTGTAAAGAATCCACTATCAACATCGTCATGATCGCTATCATTATCATCATGATTAGTATCAGTGACTTTTTCAACGAGTCAGCATCGGAACCTGGAACTGTTCCTTTTTTTATTTTTTGTCAATTTTTCCCATGCTTTTCCTTCTTTGTACATGTTTTTTTCAAACAGTGTGAAGAGGAGACACTTTGCGTTAGTTTTTTTTGCTAACTTGTTCACCGCTTCAGCCGTTTGACGTAAACTAGCCAAAGACTCCAAAACAAAACTACCGTATTATTCTAAAAAAAAGTTGCAAATACAACCTAGCCCTCACCCCTGAAAAGGATCTTAGCTACTTCTTTTACTCAGAAAAACCTATTTAGGTTATTAGGTTTCAACAGATATTAAATCCCATTCTCCTTAAACACCCTAGATTATCATATCGTGTATATCTGTAAACGAAGATCACAGATAACTTGAGTGTGATTAGCCCAACTGGAATAGTAACAGAAGCATACTCGACAATAAAACTAGGCTCCAGTAGGGCCGATTATCAGCTTCGGGTAACTGATAATATTTGATTTTTCAATACTCAAATGGAGTATCAGGTTCGTTGATCAACTTCTTCCAGAACATAAGCGCTGCCAATCTTCCACTCTGTGGGATGCATGTGGGAAACACGGTCAGCATGGTACCGAGGTAGTTGTACCCAGGCCCAATCTTGTGATACTCGCTGAGGTAACCACAGGCATCATGTGTTGCAGTGTGATACAGGATGGCCTCTATTTCTTCTTTCTCTTTACCCGTGATTCGAAACTGTTTGTTGTTTGGATTTGCAAGTTCTGTCCTTCCCCCTGGAAAACACAAGAGATCATTATTTTGAAGAATTCAAATTGAAAGCACTCTTGAAACTCAGTGGTATATGTGGATTAAAGTGAAGCCAGCCGCCTTAGAAGAGTAATGAGCTCCTCTGGAGCCCTTCAAAACAAATTTTTCTCAGTCTTTACCTCGTTAACACAACATTCATCTCCAGAACTTTCAGTAATTTTGTAAGAAGATTCCCTGTTCATAACTCGTGGCCTATTCATGAAATGAGTTCTCGTTTATGATCTCTCTTGGGTCTTATTGCAGCCTTCTCCTTATTAAACAACTGAAGAAATCCATTTCATGGCTTATCGGTGAAAAAAATAAAGGTACCTGCTTACAAGTTTGCTTAACAAGTACACAGGCTGAATTTTAAGTTGGATGTTTGTTGGAACAATAAAAATTTGATTAATTTAATATGATGCGCTCTGTTCCACTGAAGTACGTCATGAAAATGTACCTAAAATTTCGTGGTTTTTTCGCGCTTGAAATGTGTGAAAATTACACGTGATCGTTAAAACTTTTATGCACGCGCTTACCTTCCTAGATCGAGGAGGAAATAACCTTAACGGGAAAGGGGGCGTGGCAGAATCAATAAGTAAATGAAGGACAATGAAGAGAAAGGTTTTATTACAATACAGACCTGCAGGATGCAAAAGGACACCAAACGCAGGATCGAGTCCTCCGAGTGTGTCTGCAATGATTTCTCCACATCTGAGCTGTTGCTTTGTTCCCCAATACCAGTCGTCTTCTCGCAGGACAGCTAAGGGTTTCTTCTTCTTATGAATACACTGAAAGCACTGCTGCTCTTGAATGCTTCTTTCCATTTCTTCTCTTTGCCCGCGAAAAAACAAAAGTTTCTTGTAGTCTGCCATCATTTTGGCTTCGTAGAAACCCGGTCTGCCTTTCGTACAGAACTTAATGATCTCTTTTAGAGCGCTCTCTGCGTCCGGAGAAAGTCCTTTTCCAATCTCTACTAGGCTGTAAAGTTTCCTCAGATGTTTAGCAAGGCTTCGAACTTCTTCATTTCTTACAGCTACGCTCGCTCGCCTGTCGCTGAACGAAGAATAAAACAACTCTCTAAGATAACTTTCCCTTTGTTCCTTCGATAGATAAGAATGCATTTAGACACACTTTGACTTCAAAACAGCACTTTAAATGCAAAACGCTGTGCGACTCGCTCGTTAAACGGAGGAGAGCTACAAAGCATTGTTAATAACCTTCCAAATAAACAAAGGCAAATTATTCGATTGATTGGAGTGTTTTTCTCACATTTCTTGTCAAGTGAGATAGCCAATATTTTGACATTTGCTTACGTCAACAAAAGCTCTGTCTTCCAATTTGGTGTTTTTGCGGGTGGTGTGATGTTTTGTGGTTTATGAATGGCTGTTTTGAAACTTTGCCATATTTCCTTCTGCCAAGAACGACTTGTGAACCAGTTAGAGCTTGTCTTGATAGAAAACATGTCGTTAATAATATATGAACCTGTTTTGGGTGGTTTTCAGCAAAAGAGCGATGAAGTCTCCATTGGATTAGTAAACTTGCATTAACTCTGAAATGTCCGTTCTCATCTTTTTCGTGCCTATTTGCAGGCCACCTTTTTGTTATTTAACACGTCTAATAAATGCCGTGGCGCTTTCCAGATTAACTAGTTTGAGATGTTAACAGCTCCAGCTCTTCCCAAATGCGCGTTTTACCGCCATTGAATTATTTCAATCGCGAAATGTTACGGCGAGAAAAGTGTTACCTCTCTTATATGCACCTTTTTTTTTTTCTGTTGTTGTTTTGTTTTGTTTTGTTTTTTTTAGAAAAAAACTTGCATAAACTTAGCACAAAAGAAGGACTTGCAGGCATGGAAGAAAGTAGAATTTACACTTAAGAAAGTGGAATGTTATGTTCATTTATGAACAAAGCTTCATAAATCAAGCGCGGTGTATAATATTTTTATGTTCTTTTGCTGTAAGGGGTTTTCTTAAGCTCATAACTGAAACAAAGCAGTATTGAGTAAGCAATGAGGGTAGAAATAAAGTCACGTTCCTTAGTTGGGGAATTGGAACGCTTCCAGTTATTTCAGAAAATGACTTTGTTATTGATAGTAGTGTCTTCTCTACAATAACTATAGGTTACCCCATTGTACTAGTTTCAAAACAGAAAGGAAATAATGATCAGGATTTTTGACTGATTTAGGTTGGGCTGAACGTCAGCAGAGTGATCGCCCCTCACGTCACCTATCTCTCGGCAATATGTCTTTCTCTTCCATCCCTTCATTGAGCTCTAAATTGGAATGACCTTCAAGAAGACAAAAGCACGTGTCTGTCATGATGTACACAAGGTTTACAATAGATTGTGTCCTTGTCATAAATCATGTTATTAATTACGGCACACCAGGTGCGACATGTAATTCTGAAGTTCTCAGTACAACAACAAAAGGAAACAAGACGAATCCCGTGTTCACATCGTCACAAACTCACAATCCTGTATGCTGCGAATGTTCATCAAGCCGGTTATGGAACATGTCATTATGACCAAGAAATGCTAGCCACAACGATCAGTTGGTGCCTCAAGTGAGCTACCCAGAGAACAACTCTTCCTCTTTGCAGTCTCGAAAAAATCTCAGACTGGGATAAATCGGTAGTTATTATTTTTGGGCTAGGGGCATTGTTTCTGTCGTTTGTTTTGTTGTCCTCTCAAAGGGTAGCAAGCCATTCATGTGAGACCTTACGAGAGCTGGATAAACGCACTTCTAGTTTTTCGATTGGCTCACTAAATCTCAGTTATTGACTATCACACCTGAGTTTACCTTACAAGAAACGTTACAAATGGAAAATGAATATGGCAAATTTCTCGTCGCCAAGCGAACGTTCTGTCGGAAAAATCCTGATGAAAAAAATTATAAAAACAGCTGACAAATTTGTTGAGCTTTGCCGCGGAAATACTGAGAACAAGAAGTAAAGGAAATGCAGCCCTTGTATCTACAAAAAAAAGCCACTGAGAAGGTAAATAACTTGACTTGCTTGATATCGAAACATTTTTTGAAAAGCAGTTTAATGCACCACAAAAGTGTGATTGAATAAAGACTGACGCGAGACCGTTCAGAAAGTGAAAAAGAGATTTTCACATAAAATTAGGCCTGGAACTTCAGAGAAAGTTTCTTACCTTACCAGGTTTGGGTCTTGTCCTTTTAAAACCTCAGTGAACTTGGTCCGGTGGAATCTGAGCTAAGTTCCAGTTGTCTTGTTTCGGAGCCATAAGAGCTCACAAAAAAAAAAAATTAGTCCTTCATTTGACTTGGACGTGTAACTTTGAGCAATGTTCAGGAGATTAGAGGAGATTGTGCGAGGAACATTTTGGACTAAAACCCTGTCTCGCTCCGCATGCCTCATTACATAAAACACAGTGAACTGACCGCGCCACAAATTTTCCCGCCATTTCAGATCATAAACTTCGTAGATTCAAATGTCCACATCTTGTCGGCTTATAGTCTGAAGTAGCTGTCTGAAGTGTCTGTAAAAAATGTAGGGAGTTTAAGAAATCAGGACGCGACGCCGAGGACAACGTCGATTAAAAAATGATTTTATATTTTACCTACGAATCTATTGATACTCTAAAGTCACTTTCCTTTGTTTCTTATTGTCAAAACCATCACGAAATTGAATTTCGAACAGGGCGAAACATTTGAAATAATAATAATAAAAAAAAATAGCCGTCGTGGTTCACGTTCTCTGGACAACGCCGAATTTGGTCATTTCACGTTGTTGTTTTGTAGAGGACGGCAAAGAAATGTACCAAGAATTATAACGCACGTGCACAGTCATTGTTCTCCTAATTAAACCTGTTTTTAGCGACGTTCCCGTTCCCGTTGCCGTCACTCCCTTTTAATAAACGTAAAAGATCAATGTTGAGATTGGTGGATTTAGAGGAGGACTTTAAAATGATTGGCTCATGAGTAGAATACAATTCAGGGAGTAATCGCGCGAGTAATTTCAAAATCGGACGAACGCGAAGTGCGAGGCCGATTATGAAATTACGAACACGATTAATCTTATAGCAGACCAAGTGCGAGCTCATAGAACAATCTTTCAATATCTGAAGTCTCTTGTGTAGGATGGTGACAAATTTGCAGGTAAAGCTCGAAGATTTTTTATGAGTACTGAAGATTTTTTCCAAAGACTCGCAGGGGGGGGATAGATTTTCGCGCCCCTGCACCATACTTTGAGCCCGCATTGTCAAACGTACTTCTAGCCAATCAGACGGCATGATTTCAAAACGTGAAAATCAAAATGGCTGTTCATCTCGTTTGGCTGGTTTGCTCAATCGGCCGATAGAATAACCGGAAAACTATCATTTGAGCATAACATACTGTTGTCTTTATTTAAGATATGTTAAAGTTCGTTATAGGAAGAAAACACGCGGCTATACATAAAGATATTTTTAACTGTGAAGCTTTGAAAGCAGCGAAGGCGCGGAGGTGGACAGTCAAGAATATATGGCGTGACGTTACGTTGACACGATTTTGTTTAGAGTTGGTTTGTACAAGAATACCGGGGTGTTATTGCGAGAAGAATTGATGAGAGATACCCAGCATAGAAAGCTCGAGGTCAAAAGAACATGAGCAAGTCCAGCTCAAAGGGGTAAGTCTACAGCTGAGGAGATAGATTTGTTGTTAATGTAAACGTTATCTTAACACTTAGAAAATTAATTACCAAGTTTACTATAGAGGTTCAGACTCTGTGTTCCTTGACTTTTTTTTACCGTTTTTCTCAATTACTTTTTAGGAGTAGCGCGAGAATAGGGACTTTACTTGAGCAATTGCAAAAGCTGTGTCTTGCTGGCTCCGAAGCTAAATATGAACAGGAAAAAGTTGATGTTGAACAGTTACGCTACGTGACAAACAAAATCCAGCAACTTCTATCTTCTCAAGGTAACTATTACCTCCTGTATAAGCTTACATACAGCAGAATCGACTTGACTAATTTTGCTTAGTGGTCAGCTGCAGTTTCGTAATCCGAATTTTATATATGTAGGTAGGTCGTTTACTATGCCACCGCACAATAATTCGTTAAGTTTTAATTAAGCTTAATGTTATTTATTAATGAGCTGTTCTTTGTGGAGTCATTTTCCTTATAGATGCGTGTATTTGTATTTAGTATTCGATGTTTCGTTAACTTCCTGTGATTTGAACGACAAAAAGCTGTCATTTCCTTGATGACAGTAAATTACTGCTGCTCATTAAGGTGGCTGAACACAGTTTTCAAGTGCCTATGCCTGATTTACCATTACTTTTAAACTAGTTATGCTTTGGCGCCCGTTTTTTGAAAGAGTCAAGGTTAACCAGAGAAGGATTTATTCTCACATTTTGGTTAAGGTGTGTGCTGTTGCCATGGCAACGGGGCTGGTTAAAAGCAAGGTTTAAAAAATGGTTTTCGTTTATTTTGAAAAAATCCAGTTGTTAGATTTTTTTCATCATTTGCCCATTATGAATTGACATTAATTCCTCTCTGTCAACACTGTTTTAATATAATTTTGACATAGATGATTTTCGTAATTCGCCGTAAATCGTCTTCACTGCATGTTCTGTATTATTAAAAATTCTCTACGTCAAAATTCAGTTTTTTTGTAATAGATCATTCACATGGTTTCTGAACTATTTTTTTGCCAATTTTTGCTTGAAATTCTAACGACTGGATCGTTAGAAATCGGTAAGTTTCTGCAAAAGCAATCGGTCTCAATTTTTCAAGCAACTGTGCATGTGCTGCATTTAAGTGGGTTCTTTTGGTAACAAAGAAAAAGCTAAGAATTGCTGGGTTCTTTGCATCTTTACCTTTTCTAATATATCCTTGTAATAAAAGACTAAAGCCATCAATACACTGCGTTCAATTGTAGAGGAAAATAGCACAGATAGTGCGGGTGTTGAGGAAATAAAATTATTGCTCTATTGATGGCATGTTTGTTTTTTGCAATCCTTGTGCGCACGCTGAATTGCATCAGCAAAAGTGTGTGCAAAAACTGTGTTCGGCCACCTTAAGAACTATAGGCTTTTTATTTGCATTGTACCATGCTATTGGGAGGGAGACATTTGGGGGGTTCTGAACACCGTAGTACAGTAAAAAAAAAATTGGCAAATACTGCAATACTACAAAAAAATAATGACCAAATACTGCAATACTTCAATATGTAGTCTAAACTCAATGTCATACTGAAACCACTGCTCTGTATATTACGTTTAGAGCAAATATAGCGGTTTAGAAATTATTTGTTAATGAACATTAAGTCAAATAATTTTTTTATTTAGACAAAAATAATCAAAATAAGTAACATCCATTAGCGGTTGGCTAAAAATTAACAAAAAATAACGTGCCCTTTTCTGACTGCAACACAAAGAATTGCAGTTTTCTGTTACCACGTGAGCTACAGTTAAGTTTCATTGGAAATGTCCTACCAGAAACTGGAAAAGGTTTGGAAAACATTGGAGGACTTGTACAATAATTTTTAATACCTTCCAAAATGCTAAAACAACACATCCTACAGGTTTGGAAAATACTGCAATACTGCATTTGGAGATTAAAATTACCAAAATACTGCAGGAAAAATTGTCCAATACTATAATATCGTAAGCCCCAATGTACCCCTCTTTTGGCCAAATTTGCACTACATGAGAGGCATATTTTACACCAGAGCTTTTTGTGTAAGAGATGTTTCTTACTAAAATAATCGCTACCCCTGATAATAAAACCCCCTTTACTAATTCTCTTCCTCTGTAATACTTGCCTGCAAGAGCAGGCCAGTATTGCAAGTAAACTATGGACATCAAAGCAGCAGAGCCGAGTGTAAATATTACCATGGTCCCAGTACTGCAGTAGCTTGCGAGAACATCTGGTTTTTTGGCTCTTGAAACAAGATGCTCTCGCAGGCTACTGCAGTGCAGGGACCCCCATAACATGGACACTCAGCTCTGCCGATTTCGTATCCATGGGGTTCTTCTTCTTCTTCCTGGGCGACTCACCTCCTTCAATTCTGAAGATTCTAGTGAGCAGTAAAAAGAGGTTGACTGTACTTGGGCAATAAATGTACTTGAATCTCACATACTTGTGACCTTGAAGTTTTGACAATAGTGTCCCTTATTATAAGATTTATGATGTTAGTTTCTAGAAAGTACAGAAGAAAAAGCAACAGATCAAAGATATTTTAATGAACTGTTAACTTTTTGATAAAACCTTTTACAGAAAAATGTCGCAAAGATCTGACAACCAAATTCACAGATGGCCTTTCAACATTGCTGGTTGTGCTAGAGGTAAAGTCCACTTATAATAGGCAGTGGTAGTCAAACTATCACCAAGGAAACATTTTCAGAGCAACTTAATGACAAGAAAGGAGTAGAGATGATTCAGATTTTGGTTTTGTCTTCATCTTGCTCTGAATTATGTAATTTCACTCAGTAACAGCAATAAGCATGTAAGTATGATAACATATAGATGGTAGCCAATATCATGTTATACTAAATTCAACATACTGAAGAAAGGCTGAGCCATAAAGCAGAAATATCTTTTTTACAGGTATTATTTAGCAGATGAAAAGCTTTTTTAGCTTTGCATTAACTTATTTGTCATATTGTCGCACATGTGTTTTTGAACTCATTTCAGCTAGAGTATAGTGTCGAGTATAGTGGGTTTTTTTTCAAGACCAGTTAACAAATTGTTTACCTCAAGGAGTTTGACCGAATAATGTAGAAACCTTTTTGTTTGTTTTAGATGTCAATGGACACTCAGCTGACTTTAAATATATTGGGCTGTCTGTGTGAATTGCTAACTACAGGTAAGGTTGTTGTTTCTAATTAGTGTATTATATTTACATCAGGGTATTCATTAAGCATAGGAGATCGGAGCATTTTCTGGCTACTACATGGAATTTTCTGGTTAAATTTCAATGGCCCTTAGAAGCCTTGAAGTTAAATTTTTCTCTGAGTGGCCAGATTCTCCTATTATTTTATTTCCTGCTATGTCAACTCTTAATGACAACCCTGTTACGTGTTATGGTGATATTACCAGACGAACTAACGCCTAGTTATCTATAATTTATCAAACTGACTAGGCAGATTCATCAATACTGGATGATCTATTCAGGGAGCCCTCGAAATAATGGCCGATCAACGGACAATGTCCGGACTGATTGGGGATTTGACAGGCCAACCTTTTGTCTTGCTGTTCATGTTGACTGCTCACATTCGATCATATTGAAAATGAAATAAATTAAAGTTCAGTTGTTTCAGTTGTTACCAGTATGTAGCGAGTTGCTGTGTATCACTGAACTTTGATCTGAAATCCCAGGTGAAATGCAACTAGAACCGTTGTTTGCAATTCATGCATTGGAACAGACATCAGGGTTCATGCAATTCCAGTCACAAAATTTAAAATATTTTCACTTTTATTAAAGGTAATTTTGAAGTTTTACATTTCTCACTGCATATAAAGTAATTCCTCAGCACAGAATAAATATAATTAAAGTCTAATGCAAAATAAGTATACTTTATAAAACCAATAATTATTCTACTCTTTGCAAGTTTTTCTATATTTTTATCTGTTGCGTTGAAATGCCTGGTTACTAAGCTTATTCTGAATGAATACAAATTTTCTTCCGTAATGGGAAGTAACATGGATTACTGGCAGAGTTTTAGGATTAAGATCTCACACCATGATACATACACCAGAAATCAATGTATTTGGAGGCACTGGACTAATTTCACCAATTTTTCATGTATGTGTTGTTGTTAATTTTGATCTCAGTTAATTTTTGAAAATGTACTTAATTTTCGCCTAGACAAGTTCAGTTTACCTCTAGCCAATAATTATTTTTGACTAAGGATAAATTGTCCCTAGCCAACTTGAATAAATCAAACCAAATAATATTTGAAATCAAAATTAACCAAGATCAAAAATTAACTTAAAATTAACAGTATGCAATCAAAGAAACATATTAAACACATGTTACTTGTTGGTTGTCAGTTAATTCTAAGTAGGTAGTGGTACCAGGGCTTCAAATAACAGCCGGTCAATGGACAATGTCCGGTCAAAAATAGGTTTTGTCCGGTCAAATCCTTAGATGGCTGGACAATTTGTCTGGTCATTTATACTGGCAAGGAAAAAATTTAGAGTTTCAAGTTTTAAATATTTAAAGGTTCAATATTAGTGGCGTGTGTGAAAAAGAGAGAAAAAAGGCAGATACTTGACTACCAGACCAAGAACTTTCAATAAATGATTCGTAATAGTCATAAAATTTTCATGCAAATGTGCTACTGATTTTGCTGTACCATGCGATCCATTTTTCCTGCATTGAGATCGATACTCGTGTACAATAAATGCTTTGAAAATTTACTTGTTTCATATTTAAACATCATGTGAAGGGGGGAGGGGGCACTTTTATAGTGATAAGACTTAATCGATGTTTGTGTGGCCAAAAATGGGATATGTCCGAGCAAAAATAGGTTTGACTGGACAATTTGACTGGTACCAGCCAGGAAAGTATTTAAAGCCCTGGGTACAACAAGATTTAGTAAGTGAATGTTAATAAATGAACTATAATACTAAATCACCTGTGCATTTCCTTTAAACAGGTAAACGGGCATCTGTTCTGGCTGGCAAGGGTACTGTAGATATTATTCTGAGAGTTATTGTGAGTGCCAGTAAAGAGACATCTGTTTGTGAGGAGGTTCTGTTACTTAGCCATGTCATTTTAACTAAAGTGGGACCTAAAGGTAGGATTTTTTGTAAACAATTATATAATTTATGCATTTTTATTCAGATCAGAATATAATATCATGTTGTGTTCTGAATTTGGTTTTTGTATGAGAATGTATAACAGGTTTGATTTTTTCTTAAATTTTTTCTGATTCTGATCATACTTCAATAAATATGATGTAATGGAAAAATAAAAGTCAAAGTGAGTTGAAAATTGTCAAGAAAATGACAAATTTACGTGCATTTGTATCAGGGCTGGAAATAATGGCCACTTGGTCACCAGTCAAGATGACTGGCCGAATAAATTTTAGCTCAGTCATACCTTCTTTCTGTCTGGCCACATATAAGGTGTAATTTTCCCTTGATACTCCTACATGTATTAACCACCTCCCCCTTCCTAAAGCAATCACGAATTCCTCCAAAACAGCACTGCCATTGAATAATTTGCAACTCGGTCTCCATATTTTTACTTAAATTTACTGATGGATAGAAGCATTATTTGCTGCAATCATCGTTTAAAATGTAAAATGTTGCTTACCCTCAGTTAAGGACTGTATGGTCCATGTTCTTAACTTGGATAATTAACTGATGAAATGTACTGCATCACATTGTGCTCCTATCATACATTAATTTATGTTGTGTCCAGACCAAGTCCATTGACAACCTCGTTCCCAGGGTCTCTCATCTTACCGCCNAGTGGCACGTGACCAGACCCAACCAGGGTCTTTCTTCGCTCGCTCCAGGGGGCGGTAAGATGAGAGACCCTGGGAACGAGGTTGGTCCATTGAAAATGTATAGTCTCTGGCATCACTCATAAATATAAACCAATAACCATCACAGCTGCTGTGTGTATGTACCCACTCCACAGGTAGATTTTAAGAACCCTGGCCCAGGTTGATCCTGAGACAAAATAAGGAATTTTGAAAAGGGTAGTTCTGTAAATAAATAAGTTATTGGAATAGTGGCATTTGTGGAATTCTTGAACACCAGGTCTTCCCCTCATTCATTTGTAGATCGTAAGCTTTGTGTTAAAGCTCGTCTGACTGGAGCTCTTCAAGTCACAATGAACATGGTCAAGAATAACACAACTTTCTTCAAGATCTTACAACCTGCTCTACAAGTCCTTAAACTATACTCTGCCAACTGTAAGTCAATTGAAACAGCTGGTGAATTGACCAAATTCTTGGTAGCTGGTGTGTTATAACTATGAACCTTATCACAATCTATCAACTCTTTAAACAAAACTGTCTACTGCTGTTTTGAGAAAGGTTATGTTACAGAAGCCTCAAAGTGTATTCCTAAAGGAGTTATGGGCAGTGGTAGTTTTCCTTTCCTTGATCAAGTTCACAGTGTTTCAGAGCTAAGGAAGGAGAAACCACAAATGTATGCATTCATGACTCTTCTGTCTATCCTACTGAGCCACTGTGAACTTCGATCAAACAGCAGTGAACTACAGTATAACACTAAACCTTTTGGCATGGCATTGTACTCTTTTACGTTTTTGAAGTACAACCTTTCTCAAAATGGCTGTATATGTACATGTTATTGTAAGAGAGATTGGTGAGAATCAGTAACTTGTTCAGAACAATGTACATTATATTTATTTAAGACAAAATCACCAACCAAAACATAAATGTACATGTATATGTACACTTAGCTCTTGCTGCATGAGCTGAGATTTGGCTCTTAGTCTTAATACTTCTTACAAACCTCTTCTATTTTGAATGGGTACAAGCCTTTGAATGAGAGCAAGATAATCAACACTTTTACAAGGTTGTCACAACGTTTAAGAGTAGTCAGCTTTACTGTTGGAGTAAGTGACTGATTTTGCCATCTTTGCTAAGAATCAGAAAAATAGCCCAGTAAGGTGACTGCCCAAATAATAATAATGATAATAAAATAATATTTTAAGAGGAGGCCTCCAATCAACTAGTGGTGGTATTCAGGATGGTCTTCTAAAAACTAAAGGTACATTAGAAGTCTAAAATACATTAAAATACATTAGAAGTCTAAAATACAGTATAGTAATAAAAGCTAAAAAGTTAAGACCACAACTAAGGTTTGAAACAAGAACTAAGATTGAAAATACTACTAACAAAGAGAACACAAAGTAGATGGTGATTTTGCATGCAGCAGACTACTTTTATCAACCCTGCTTGTATGGAACTACCTTACTGTGTCAATATTTATTAGCATAGTTAATTAACATTCAGTGCATGCTAATACTGTGCATGGTATGTACTCGATTGTACATATTATATAATTAAGTCGTCTGTAATTTATGTGTGTGTCAGTTGCATCCAATCTTGGCTGCTATCATGCAAGATGTCTTTGAAGAGTTCAATTAAAGTTATTTAATGTTACACTTACCTTCTGTAATCTTGCAGTGTTACATGCATTCCAGTCTCAGAACCTTTTAGATAAATTAAGATACCTTCTAACTGATAATGAATACATAAGATGCAGCCTAAAGGAGATATCGTAAAACAATAAAATGAAAATAAAGTAGGTATCTTACAATAAGAATTTTTTGCTTCAAACTGCTTTGAAAAGTTTTGTGGTTCCTTTATTCCTGACTGCATTGTTTTATTTTTAGCGGTTAATTGCAATGCCTTGGCCAAGGCAGGAGCCGTCAGTGTTCTGTTCAGAGTTGTCACTAGTTGTGGTCACAAGAGGGTTATCTGTTTAAAGTAAGAATATAAAACAAATAATTGAACTTTGTGCTGCTTGTTTATTGGCTGGGAGTTTAGCATTGTGAACTGTTGCTATGTAAGTAAATGATGTAATGCTCTTTCAAGGCTGACATTTCATTGCTTTTCTTCTAAACCTAACAGGCTGGTACTGGAGATCATTGCAACTCTTGTTAAGTCAAGTGAGTTCTCCTTCTTTCATCAACATTTTAATAAAAATGAATCAGTAACTAGACCATCTATTTTGATTGGGAGCTTAAAGTCTTCACATAACATGCATAATTTTTTTTCTAGATATTAGGTGCAATAAAGTGCTACATGTCTGACAAGACAAGATCAAAGCCTTAAGCTTAAAGAATAATATTATTGTTAGCATATTATACCATTAAATTTTGCATTGATTTGTATTCTTGTGCTGAAATAAAAGCTTCATTTTGTCAATCAAAAGAAACAAGCTTTAACTTTGGCAATGTTCAATTATACAATACAGATCTCTCAGCTCTAATTTCAATGTTTTGCAACTGAGATACCAAATCATGTTATCAACAACACAATTATCTAGCATGTTTCATTACAAGTATTCTCCCTTACTTTTCATAAGAAATAATTTAATCCTTTCACAGTATCTACTATCATTGACAAAACAGTTAATTCAGCCATACTATACTATCGACTAGCAAAACAGTTATTGCGCTGTAGTTTTTATTTTCTGTTTATCACTGCCAGCATTAAGAGGTATTTCTGATCAACTGTTGAGGTTATTATGACTCCCAAGTGGTCCAGCTATTTTCCGATGCATATTATTTCCAAAATGGTTTTGTACTCATAGAGTGTCTGTTAAGCAGATTCTTATTATAAGCAGCTCTGAAGCTGACCCAAGGACATAACAAAGGCCAAGTTATTAAAAGATGGAATTGACATGGACTTTGTTGTTGAGGATGGGGATCCTGTATGACAAAAATTTGAAATCAAAGAATAGAAACTTAAACTTTTAAATTTTATTACCAGAGCCTTAGAAAGGTTAACATTAATCTAATATTAAATAGTAATCATCCTTGTTAATTTTGGCATTGCAACATGTTGTTGACCATCAGAATAATGCAGCTTAGGTAACAGTGCTGTATGTCAGATAATGATTAAAAAGGGCAAGAGTTTGCTCTTCTAGGCAGCCAACGTAATTTATTTTATCCTGTTTGCAGAGAGTTGTGCCTCGAAGGCTGTCAACTTTGGAGCTGTTCCAATACTTTTGCAGATGTTTTGTGATTGGCAAAGAACAGATCATCACCACAGACAGGCCAACATCAGAAAAGCTATTCTGAATGTCATCAAAAATATCACCATGTCAAGTAAGTTGCCCGGATATTACATCATAACATACTGTTATGAGGGCCTTATACACAAGATGTAAAAAATATGGGGGGAAATGACTTGCTGAAACCCAGCTGGCATTTTTCCTTTTGCTTCACATTTATTTCACTTGCTCAAAGATCTAAGAGAAAAGAGTGACTGTTTCTATTCAACTGAATATATCATACTGATGAACGAAGTGTCAATAATTACTATACATGTATATTATTAATTAATTTCCATATAAGCCCTTATACTGAATTACCTGCAGGACTTGGGGGTGACAATTATTGTTTTTTGAAATGGTTGATGCTCAAACTGTTATTAAATTTGTCATCTATTGGATCATTGTAGGAGCCGGTAAGAAGGCTTTTATTCAAGCTGATGGTATAAAGACCCTGTATACTTTGTCCCTGGAGACTCTAGAATGTAAGTTATAGGTCAAATATTATTGGTGAAAGCAGTTTTTATGCTGAAATTGAAGTTTTGATGTTGAACTTTGACATACTAAAGTAGAATAAATGTTCACAGAGAGAAATTGTCAGGAAGTACAAAGTATTCTTACTACTAGTAGAAAAGGAAATTTACATCATGTCACGCCTGGACTGTGTTCACCAAGACATGACTTTGAATGGAGCAAATAAAGACTTCTCAGATGAGCTGTTTTTTTCTTAAAATATATTTTGGGTTCACTTGATAAATTGGCTTTTGAATCCTGTAATTTGAATAAAAAATGTTTTATTTGTCTGAACTTTGGCCAAATTTTTGATAAAATACTTTAAAGCAAGATGGTGTTTCAGGCAGTTACAAAATTTTAAAAACCTATCATTACAATTCTTTTTTGTGTACATGTATACTTTGATTCTCCCCGGAGTAGAACACATCATTCCTTTTCCACAGATACATGTATATATTTTTGAATGAAATGTGATACTTAGAGACTCAAATGCCATTTTTAGCAATGACTAGCTGTTTATGTAAATACACTTTAGAATAGTAAACTAAGAATAATGTTACAAACATGTTGAATTCTTATTTGTGTCTTTGTTTTACAGCATAACTCAAAGGCACTCAGTCATATATAAATTTGTTCTTCTGTTGTAGGCCGTGAACTTGAGGGAGTAAATAATCTGAGCAGCCAGATTTTACGAAGGTGTTTTCCAACCAACAAGCTGCCAGTGTCAACACTGTCATCACCTTTGGCATTTGCTTTGTTAGATTTGGACAGTGCTGGTCACTCAGCTGCTGAAGATCTCCTGGATGATAGTGGGGAAGGTACAGGCGAATCCTTATTTTATCCTTATATTTCGAATCCTTTTTTTTTTTAACTCCGGATTATTCGAAGCAATTTTTTGTGCTCTTGGCAAAAATATGAAAATATTATCCCTGTATTTTTCATTTACCATTTCGATTTCCTTTGGCAGAGGTATCATTAATGTTTTCAGCAAGAGGACAAATGATTTCACAGTTGGACAAAACTTTTTGAACTGGACTTTTTTATAAGAAAAACTGTCCTCTCAATGGTCAAACCAGGCAGGCAAAATCATCCTCACAGCTGGTCAATTTGCCCCGTGCCCGGCCCTTAATTAATAAAACCCCTGGTATGTTGTTTTTGCAACCGCATGGTATGAAAAACCAGCCATACTGAGAAGATTTAATTCTATGTTTTCACAGTAAATTTTATAATTTTTATACTATTTGAGGGAAGGGCCACTGCATTAAGGTATTAATCCATTAGCAACTCTCCTTCTGTTGTGGAACCATTCAGCAAATGACTACTACTTCCAAACCTAGGTGAGTCAACTGATGTTGAATCAGAAGAAGAGGAGGATGAAATAAGTTCTAGTAGTGCCAGTCAAGATGACAAGGAACTACTTGATGGTGGAAACAAGCCAGTAAAACCTGAAAGTAAAGCTCCTAATCAGAACAAGCAAGCCAAACCTCGAGATGATCTAGCAATGTATGAAAAGTTCTTTCCAGAACTGTTTGAATTTCAGGTGGGTTTGATTACTGAAATCTTTGTTACAGTTTAGGAATGGATCAGTGATGATAACTGAATGAATCGGTGTCTGTTACCAGAAGCATATCACCCCGAACGAGGTGATATGCTTCTGCTGTTACTAACTAAACCACCTGTGAGATAAGCACAAGTGCAAGAACAAGCATAAGCACAAGAAAATGTAGTGTGCACTGAGGTTAAAAAAAAATAAATAAGTACAAAAAAGAAGCATTTTCCTTTTTCTTGTGCCTGCACTTGTGCTTATTTCACTAGTGTTATGCTTACATGTATTTCACAAGTCAAGTGGGAACTGGAGTGAAATAAGCACAAACATAAACACAAGAAATCAAGCAATTGCCATGCATCTTGTTTCTCTAGTGATGTAACTTGCACTGTGCATGGTATGTTGCTAGTGTAAAATATCCTGGTGCTTGTGCTTGTGTTTATGCTTGTGCTTATCTCAAAAGTGTGAATTAAAGAACTTCATTTAAAAGGTATATCATTCTATACGTACATGTTTTTAGTCTGTTTGCTTATCTACAATTAAGCTAGGCACTGAACTAATGAAATGAAATAAATGAATCAGTCAAATATGAGCTGGATCAAGGAATTTCTTGCTGAAGAAAGTTTGGTAATTGTGAGGAACAGCTCCCCGAAAAAACCTGTCAGCTTACTGCTGGCCATTTGCCAGTAGACTGTTGGCTGTTTGTTGGCCGACTGTGGACTCTCAGCCAACTGAAACTGTTTTTGTGGATTATGTTGCATGCATTCGATACACTTTCATGCATATTAAGATAATAATAACTTGGACTAGACAACGTAAAGCAAACCATTCCCTCTAGAGACACTGACTGATGTTTTAAAGATAGAAATCCCTTTGATTTAATCCTGATGCAAAGGGTCATTTCCTTGAAAAATGCCATGTCAGTATAAATTGATATTAAATTATTTCTGTCAATTATGCATTGATGATTTATCTTGGCAACACCTAAATATGCCATCAATCTACTCAGGCTGAAGTTGCAGAACCAATGGAGGATGAAATGTTTGTGCCATATCCAATAGTAATTCCAACTGCTGCCGAGGAACCACTTTCATGTTCACCTACAGGACAAAGCCACCTGTCCAATCAGCTCGATTCTATGAATTTTGAAAGGTTTGAACCTTATTCACAAGTTTTATAATTAAGATTTGTTAGCAAATGATGCACATAGGGGTAAACAAAAATAATTTAAAAAGCTGAATATTCACAATGCTGTGTTTAGATCAGCTACTTGCATTTGTATGTGCATGCAAAAGTTGTACTTTCGATATGCACTAGATTGTGTAGTCATTCTGACTCTTGCACACCATTGTTCTGCAATTTCCTGTGAGCCAAACACCTACTTAGGCCATTGTTGGCAACAGTTTGGTTCTGCAACTAAAATGTTTTGGTTTGCCTTTCTTGCCTACTAGTGGCTACTAGGACTGAAGGCAAAATAACTCCCAAGCCTGGGTCTTCTTGACTTTAAGAATCCATAAGCTCATTGATTTGGCATTATATTGTTTTGTGCTACAACAGTCCACCCACCAACTCTGAAGGAAGTCAACCAAAGACTCGAGCAGCAGCTACACAAGAGGAACTCACTCAGGAGGAAAGACCTTGTTCAATCGAGAACTCCACAGCTGAGATGGACAACAATGGACAGATACAAAGTGTCCTGCCAATCATCAAGTCACCTTCACCTGATGTTCATGGCCACTACCCACCAGTAGAGCCGGAACCATTAGGACAGAAGAGAACAGGGCTACAGAGGTACAGTGGAGGGTGGCTTGAATAACTTTACGTGGACCCAGAGAGAACAACAAGTTTGATTTAACAAATCGAATGTGGTTTAGCTTGGTCTGTACTCTTATCGACAACGCTATGCGTCATCACAGTGGTCAAAATGTTGTGGACTCACGAGGCGCAGGCGAGTGAGTCCACAACAAATTTTGACCACTGTGATGGCGCGTATCGTTGTCGATAAGAGTTCAGACCACGCTACCACATTCGATTTGTTTTTTACCATAATATCAACGTCAAAGAAAATGTTTTTTCAGAGCGCGAGCTGAAAAAACATTACGTGACACATTGACGCGAGCAGCGTTGTCTGGACTCTTATCGACAACGGCAAATTAGCCAATCAGATTGCGAGATTAGTAGCAATTTTAGTAACAATGGTGACCGGTAAAAAATACCGTAAAATAACGGGTTGGGAGTGAAAATGATTGAATTTAATTTGAATTTCACAGTGAGATAGCCTGCCTTGCAAATTTAATTTGTTAAAGTTAGTCAGTGGTTTCTCACTTTTAGAGAAACTCAGCCTCTTAGACTTCGTGACAAAGTTTGTTTTTAGTTTTGCTTTATGTTGTTTGTTGTCCGTTTTCAGAACTATGATCTTCAGGGACATTGAACGACAGATTCATCCACAGAGAGTGATAAACAAAGTTGTCTTTGACTTGGATCGTTTATTGAGGCAGGAACCTGAAGTAGGCGATAACTGTTTGTTGGCCGTGGCTAAAGAACAACTCAAGTTAGGACATTCTCGTAAACCTAGCAACTCCAGGTACATACATATAGCATTGACTCAACTTTCATGAACAGCTAAAATCCATACAGTTAAAAATAGGTTTGACACTGGCTTAAAAAACATTGAAACAAATCGAATGTGGTTTTGCGTGGTCTGTACTGTTATCGACAACGATACGCGTCATCATGGTGGTCAAAATGTTGTGGACTCACTCGGGTGCGCCTCGTGAGTCCACAACAAATTTTGACCACTGTGATGACGCGTATCGTTGTCGATAAGAGTACAGACCACGCAAAACCACATTTCGATTTGTTTTTTACCACAGTGTCAATCTCAAAGAAAATGTTTTTTTTCAGAGCGCGAGCTGAAAAAGGTATTGCGTGACACATTGACTCGAGCAGCGTTGTCTGGACTCTTATCGACAACGGCAAAGTAGCCAATCAGACTGCGAGATTAGTAGCAATTGTGGTAAAAAGACGTTTCGACCGAAGAAGTTCGGTCTTCATCGGTTGTGAATGGAAAGATAAAGACCCACGTTCCTCAATCAAAACGTCTTTTTAGTATTTTTAGAAAACGACGTTTCAAAAAAGTCTCTTATAATTATATTATAGAAATTCATCTATCGTTATTAATCGATCGACGATAACCTAAATTAGGTAAGTTAGCTACAATCTAGTAAGCACTTAGATCTTTAGTTAACACTAACTTATAACATGGAGCGAGGTCACTTCTATTTGAAGCGAAGTCACTTCTCATGTGGAGCGATCTAACTTTTGGTTGGAGCGAACGGACTAGGAGCGATCTCACCATGGAGTGAAGTGGCCAGAGCCAGTGTCAGTGTACCTTTTTTAAGCCAGTGTGTTTTTATATGTCATGAATCCTGCTGCAATTTTAAGTATCTTTTCGTAGAAATTGCATGATTATGTTCATTCAACTTTTCACTGTAACTGAATGTCTCTGTTTTTGTGTTACAGTGTGTCGGAAGGTGAAAGATCGTCTCCTGAAGAGACAGCCAGACCATTGAAATTTGAATCACGCTTTGAAAGTGGCAATCTCCGCAAAGCTATTCAGGTACATGTGATATGTAGTATCTCTGTTCTAGGATCTAAGATTGTGGGGAATATGTTAAATGCATGCGTGAAGAAGAAAGGTAAACGGAGAAAACGTGTTGCTTAGGCTCGGTTACCAGCAGCTGCCTTAGAAACGAGCCTGTCCTACGGTTGAAGAACGGGTCGATATAGCCTTGTATAATGATAGATTCAGACGATCTGTAAGACATTCGTACCCCTTCTTTCTTTCTTTCCTCAGGTACGCGATTATGAGTATGATTTGGTCCTGAATCCTGACATCAACTGTAAGCACCATCACCAGTGGTTCTATTTTGAAGTAAGTGAAAGTGTTTCACCTTTTATCCAGTTCTTTATACCATGCATATGCTATAGAAAATACAGCTAGTCAGAATACAGGAAAGCCGTTGTATATTCGATGCTATTTTATCCAACCTTCTCATCGTGCGCTGCGCGTCTGTTGCATTGATTGTGCTGACCACTGTATTTTCTATGGTATGGTATAAAATAGCTATGCAACGCCCGTTCGTGGTATACCATGGCATATCTCGAAATATCACACTTGTCATTTGTATTTTCTCGGTGTACATACTCGCCCAAAAGCTGGCGTGTATACTGAGAAAATACAAGTGACTCGTGGGATATTCTATGCACGAGAGAGCGTTGCATAATTAGCACTGTATGGGTACTAGTGCAGAGCCAGACAGTAATGTGGGGCAGGGGGTACGTTTTAGTCATCAGGCATTCAAGTTTGTGTGTGGTTTCTTTTATTAATTTCAGGTTGGTAATATGGACGCTGAAATTCCGTACAAATTCAACATTGTTAATTGTGAGAAGATTAACAGTCAATTCAATTTTGGTAAGTTGATTGTAGAGAAGTGATATAAGAAGGTACGTTTTGAAAATGATATGAGGACTTCTTCCCGTTCTTTTTAAGAGACTGATCATTACCTTCCCTTTGGAAACTGTAAATGTAACATCAAAAAAATCTGATTCTTTAGGAGATAAAGGACATGCGCGATCTGTGTTAATACGATCATTAACGATCATTGATTCTGCTTATACCCTGTTCACACCAACATGTAAAACATGTTTAAAAGTGGTTTAACTAAGTAAGGTTAAAAATTAGCTGCTCATACCGTGCACACCCCACAACTTAACCTAGTAAAAACCTGTTTGAATGGTTTGAAATTTGTCGTCTCAAAATGACTGCAAAGCGTAAAAAAACTAAACCTGATTTAGTTAAACCAGTTTAGTTGGCGTGCATGGGGTACAATATATTGAGTACATAACTTTCACTTTTTTTCACCCAGGTATGCAACCAGTTATGTATTCTACAATAGAAGCTCAAGAAGGGCGAGCTGGTTGGATCCGAGCGGGAGCCAACGTTTGTTATTATAGAAATTACTTCACACGGAGCCGTGAGGCGACTGGCGGACAGGGCGGCAAAACCTATTACACGTCAACATTCACTGTCACATTCCCACACGCAAATGATACATGTTATTTCGCTTATCACTATCCGTACACGTTTACTATGCTCCAGGTAAGATAGGACCATCTTACTTGTTTCCTTGTCTACTGTACAGATTTTTGACCCAATTTGCGCCTTTTTTTTTTTCCAGAGTCACTTGTTACGCTTAGAGTCCTCTCTAAATACAAGTGATATCTTTTACCGTCGCATGACCTTGTGCAACAGTTTGGCGGGAAATCCTTGTGACGTCATCACGGTCACTGCGCAGCCGCGTCGTAGAGATGCCAAGTCCATTGAGTTACTCAGTAAGTGAATAGCACATTAGTTTATGGTGATTTTTTGTGGTTGATTTTTTTTCCCTTCAGAGCACGACTACCGTTTGCTTTCTACGTTTTAGGGAGCCGACCATATATATTCCTCACCAGTCGTGTTCATCCTGGTGAAAGCAACGCAAGCTGGGTGATGAAAGGTATCATGCATTGTTTATTCTTGCTTTGTTTATTTACTTTTAGAGCGGTTTTCATTTGACTGTCAAAGAGTAATTGGTTTGGCACTTACTACGCTACACGATTGGCTTAAAAAACTCGCGCCACCTTCTCATCCAATCAGAAGTAAACCAAAACCTCGCTCGCATGCATTTTCTCGCGCTTCGCGTCAACCAAATGTATTTGCTTCGAGTTTTGATTGGTTCACTGAATTTTCTGTGTCCTTGTAATTGGCTATAGTGATTACTTTGGATTTGGTTTTACGACACCCAATTGAAAACCGCTCTATCGCCGATGTTATAACTTTTCTTGAATGTGCAGCTCTAGTTAAGTGGCTGTTTTTGCTATGTTGGGGGTGTGAATCGTTAAGGACCCCAGAATTGATATGAATGCCGCCTTGAAACCTGGCTTTTGAATGCCTTACATTTTTTAAAATGTAACCGTTTGTTTTTCTGTTGCAGGAGTGTTAGATTTTCTGATGAGTAACTTCTACACAGCGCGTCACCTGCGGGAGACTTTTGTCTTCAAGATAGTGCCCATGCTTAACATGGATGGTGTTATTAATGGCTGGTAAGATATCAAATAGAATTCACAATCCCAACTTTGTACCCAGTTCTTTGCCGTGTTCTACTACAACTTGTGAGACAGCCACGTCATGTGACGAGTCAAGAGAATGATAGCCTAGGCTTGAGGAATTTATACCTACAGTAAGCAATGGAAGACATTTCATCATTAAGTTGCTTTACGTTTTGTTTCAGTCACCGATGCTCTCTGTCAGGTGATGATTTAAACAGGCGCTGGATCAATCCCAGCATGCTACTTCATCCCACTATTTATCACGCCAAAGGATTGCTGTTGTATTTACAGTCCATAGAAAAGACGCCCTTGGTGAGTACACAGATGGCTGTTTCTCCCATAATAACTGAAGGTGGTGTGACACTTAGTTGCAACATACAACTGAGTATCAGTAGCACTTCTATGCTAACTGTGGACAGTGTGATGCAAATGGAAATGGCGAAAGTGTGTAACAAAAATACATGTAAATATTGCAAACGAAATCCTAGCGCTTTATCAAGTGACTTGAGTGAGTTGAGGAAACAACTGGCTAGAGTAAACGGTCGCTAGTAATTTACTGCTACTTAAGGGAACTAAGTATGCACACTTGTGAGGTCTGCGTTATTTTTTTGAAGCGGTGCTTAAAACTAATACTCTGAACAAAGAAGCGACTCGTTCTTATTGAATCTTCTTGTTGTTGTTAATTAACTTGCAGGTTTATTGTGACTTTCACGGCCACTCACGTAAGAAGAACGTGTTCATGTATGGCTGCAGTACCGCTGCCACCATTGCTGCGAGTTCGTCCAGCTCTGGTGAAGCAGACAGCGGTGACTTGGTGGACTCAGTGAGAGAACGAGTGGCTGAGCTGTCCGGCTCGGACTCCACCAGCAGTATGGACCCGAGTGATATAGACGAAGATCCCGGATATAGGGTGAGGGGAAAACGTCATGCTACTTTTAACATTTGATATAGAGGATTGAAAACCTCCTTTTTACGCTCGGTATCTTGAAGGCGTTGCATCTTTATACCTACGAAGAAAAGAAACTTGCATAGTTTACGTTCTTTTCTTTTACTCTTTTTTCGTAATCAATGATCTCAAACAACCAAAAACTGTTTGCCGGGGAATTTGATTTTGGGAAAAACGTTCCTGCGGTGATAAGAGCCGTCTTTCTCAGAACCTGCTTATTTAGATTTTAACGGAGAGAGAAAATATGAATCAATTAGT